CTATCCAAATTATACTTAAACAGAGACATGGGGTATGTCGGTGGACGGTAAACTGCTGCAACTATAATTTTGTGCTCTGCAAAATAATTAACTAAACATTCTAAACTGAAATCCTGTACTGTGATTTCATAGTTAATGTTTTCTTCACAGTACATGCCAACACCACCGTGCTGTTGGCCCAGTAAACTAGTCAGAACTGGGTGATGAGTCTGCTGATAGGATAAACTACGGGGACGACTATGGAAATTATAACCTTCAATATGACTAGTTTCAAAATTTCAATCTACAGTTAACCATGTCTCTACCACAGCAATACAGTTAGGCTGCCAATGCTGTGTGCATAAGGCCAAATCTGACACATGTCGTGCTAAACCATGAACATTCATAAAAAAGAATGTTAAGACATGTGCCTCTTGTAAGTGCCAGGGCATACTCGCCACCATGAAGGGAGGCATGTTCTCAATCGCCGCTCTAATACCATCATTACAATAAATGGCATTTTCATTAAAGTCTTGAATAATAAGACCATCTAAACTCCTAACGCGACTAAGGGCTACATACGCCTGACCCACTGTAAAAATGTGTTTAAGGGACACCACTGCTCGATCTACGGTTACGCCCTGCACTTTATGAACCGTACACGCTGTGGGAAATTATGTGTTGATCATGCTAATTCACCTAACATTATGGACTAACAACAGGGTGGAAAATGTATGACTATCTGTAGGTCTATATAACATGTTATTTCTGGACTGGAGTGTCATAAAGAACATGTTTTTTTGGACTTTGAGATGCCATGAAGCAGCAAAACTGACATATGTGGTCCCCGTGACATGGTTCCACCCATGATAAGGTGCACTGGGTCAGCAGTATTGTTCATTTTCTTGCTGTATATGCTAAATCAACAAGTTAATGTTTTGTCAAGATGTAGTATAAAGCTTCCCCTGATTTTGAGTTGGTCATTGAGGCATTGTTCCGGGGTGGCAGTTGTACTTGGTAATCAACTTGAATCCTCTCAATGGAAAATGACGAATAAAGTGGCCTGTTCTCTCGGATTCTCCATCTCCTGTGCTTCTTTCTAGGACACGCATGGAACCTTCCGAAAAAACCCACAACGCCCACGCAAGTTTAAGTGGAAACTGACGACGCTTCTCCCCTCGCTTATTCGCTTGTTCTTCTTCTGGTTCTATGCGGGTAGAACCAGTCAGGTCTGCAGGGGTACGTGTTTTGCCTCCTCCTCTGTGCGCCTACTCTATCGTCGTCAAAATTTAACATAAATTGCTAAAGGAGGCAATTTTCTCTCTGGATTTTCAACTATATATGTAATTATACCACATACCCCATTTACTAGACCATCAGCCAAATCTACATTTTTACAAAGCATAACGCACACATTTACACCTTAAACTAATGTCTCCTCCAAACAGGGTAGTTTGGATTTACGGAGATGACCTTTTTATTTCTGTTCACTTCCCAGCGTTTTTGTCGTATCCAAAATCACGCGCACTAATTGTAATTTTTTCTGGACATACTTTATTTAATATCTTTAAATTATAATTTGTAACAAAGCTATTCTTTGTAAAAAATATGCAATACGTCGGGATCTTCGCCTGTTTCGCATCGTTTTAATATATCTACATCGTTATCAAGCAGTGGTGTCTCTCTTGAGCGCACTCTAAGTCGGTTCAATAGCTCTGCAAAAGTGTTATCATTTTGTCTAACTACAGTTTTTAACTCCGCAATTTTGAAAAAATCTGTAAACAGATTAACGCCTACATCTTCTTTGTACAGAGCATGACCCATGACCGGCGATAACTGAAAGAAATCCCCAACTGCTATAATAGAAACATTTCCAAATGGAGAAAAGTCACTTGTCTGTTTAATTTGACGCAATCGACCGTGAATATAAGTAAATAACTTTTTATCGACCATGGATATTTCATCAATAATTACAATTTGTAAATCCATGTATCTAACGCGCAAGGTATTAATCTTTTCCTCTCCTAGCGGACTGTAGGGGAGGGAAACATTAGTACCGATACTAAACGTGGTGTGGATAGTTGCCGCCTGTAAGTTATACGCCGCTATCCCTGTCGGAGCCGTTAGTAAAACGCTAACACTATCTGGACTATGGCAAATAGGAGCACAACAATCTCAACGCCTCATACTGAATCGCCCTGATCAAGTGACTTTTCCCAGTGCCTGCCCCTCCCGTAATAAACACATGCAATGGCTCTGGGTTGTTACCAGCTACTTTATCTAAGCACCATTGCCGTATTTTGTAAAAAATGGACAACTGTTGCTCATTCAGAGTTTTCACAAGTGAAAGACCCTCTTGACGACTCATGACATTTCTTTTCTCTATATGACAAACTTGCTCATTTCTTACAGCTAAGTCTGGAATGGCCTCTTGCTCCTGCTCAGAACTCACACCTTGCAACATCTCTCTGAACTCCTCCCTCGACTCCAACCTCTCAACTTCCTGTTCTGGGCAGAGCAAGCCCCACGCATCCTCCTGAATCTCTCCACACTCCATCTGCTCATACACTTCATCCAGGTCCTCAGCTGCAAGTTCAAATCGACGCCTATTTGAATCAACTATCGACTTTACCAAATGAACCGACCCGTCGCTCAAACGCACATCACCGGTTTTTATAGAAGTGTTCGCACGTTTCAAATGGAGGCGGCTTAAGGTCAGCCTCAACGCGATACGGAAAGAATAACTGAAGAATACTTTGATGAAATAACTCTGTGTTGTTAGTCTCAGAAAATCGCGCATATCTAACAATTGCGGACTTGGTCCGTGTTCTTTTGGTTATCGCGCCTAATCTATTCTGTAAAAGAATTGGGTTTTTGCATTTATCAGACGGACCAAGTAAGTGATATTCGGATACGAATGTCGCAATGCACATGTCATTAAATGTGCTGTCATTTGGTCTACTCAAATAACGCTCAATAATATTTGTCATCCAAATATCATCCCCCATTTCATCATCTATTTCGCCAATTGGTCTACTCATACGCACTATGTCGCCGGTCGGGACAAAAGTAACTTTACGCGAAAACTCCTTTAAGTGCATGTTTGTTACGCGATAGACACCTTCCTGCGCAGAGACA